CAAAGCGTTTTCGACAACGTGCTCATGTGAATTTTTTGGAGGGGGTTGAGCGAGTGATGAAGTTTTTGGGCTATTTTTGGGGATGGGGTTTTTTGGCAATTTTTGGGTGATTTTCTGGGGGTGGATTTTGGGAAGAAAAAACAAATTAACACCAACCCACTTCACTTTTGCTGTATGATGTAGCGAATTGACTAGATGATTTGGGTCCATTCCTGTTTTTTTTAGTTACCCTCTTGCTGCAATAATGTTACATTGTCTAGATAAATTTTCCCAAACAGTACACAAATCCCTGCCAAAATAATGGTACATAAATTACCTGGAGTTGCATCACAGGTACTCCCTCTGTAAACTTTACAAAGGGAGTACTAGGCATGCAGCTTTAATTTTCCAGGGGAGTTGTTTTTGGATTTACCACGGCTGTTGCGTTGGATTTCACCAGGGATTTTACCAGGGATGACCAGGGAGGCAAATTACCAGGCATAGTTTACAAATATCTTGTTCTATACACAATTACCATTGTTGTATGCAAGTTACCAAGCATATAATTAACAAAATTACCATAACTCATGTATATTAGTCATAATGTACATGAAAGCGCAGTTACCATTTTTGTTTTGTTGCACTGTGATTGATACTTCAAGATAAAAGAAGTTCACCAATAGTACATAGTTTTTTTTAATCAAATTTCATTTGTACCTATAAGGTTTTTGTATCGTAGTCCCCCATGCATGTCCCTGCATTGTTATGTACTCCATCCGTTCCTAAATACTACATACAGAAATGTACAGAAAAATATAGAGGTATTTTAGAGTGAAGATTCATTCATTTTGCTTCGTAGGTAGTCCATATTAGAATCTCTAAAAAGACTTATATTTAGGAACGGAGGGAGTAGAAAATACATTTACTAGCAAAATTTACCAATACTGTATTTTCTCTGAAGTTATTGGCAATGTTCTATCAAAATTACCACAATGGAGACAAATCTGGTAACAGTAAAGAAAACCACCAAATGCAGTATGCCCAAGTTGCTTCCCTAACTAATATGGGACAAGACTTGTATCTTCAGCTGACAATTCCCCGAAGAACAAGAGAAAAACCTGTCTACATAAGCATGTCTGTAGATCTTCGTTAGACAATCAGTTAGACAGGCAAAAAAGGGCGGCAGGGCAAAATATTTATTCAAACTGCTGTGCATAATAAAAGCCATCCTTCAGCTCATTCAGGAAGGAACCAAGAGATTATCACAATGTGATTCGCCCACACACACGCCAGTATGCTCCAGGGTGGAAAAGGGATCTTTCAAACACCCATATGTCTTTCACCAGTACCTACACAATGATTTGCAGATGCCAAACGTACATCAGGAGATTGTTTTGCCATGGAAGCCCAACTGTTCGACTGTCGTAAAGGTGTTACTTAGTACTCCCTCCGTAAAGAAATATAAGAGCGTTTAGATCACTACTTTAGTGATCTAACGCTCTTATATTTCTTTACGGAGGGAGTATATTACATATAGCGGTAAAGCAGTGGGATGTAGGTAAAGGTAATGCCCCCCAATGTTCAAATACCTGGCTGTAAGCAGCTATTTAATATAAAGACATCGATTTACAGGTTATTATATCAAACTAGATACTTCAGGAAGCACACTTGCCTAATAAGGTCGCATAGCAATCACAATTGTGACAGACAACAAAATCATGGACTAGTTATTGACTGGTACTTGGCCAAATACAGTAATTTTCCAAATCATGAACTATTACTAGCTACTCCCTCCGTTCCATAATTCTTGTCGTGGTTTTAGTTCAAATTATGGAACAGAGGGAGTAGTACACGGCTAAATACGGTAGTTTCCGTTCAGCATCAATCTGTATTCTGGCTTCCAGCATGCTAACGATATGGAATGTTGATCCTGTTTTGACTCATATGTACTTAATGTCAGCAAGCGGTCGGTGGACAACTAGTGACCAGAAGATAAAGGTGTACACCCTCTTCCTGATATTTTACCCTTTCGTCTTGATCACAGAAATGTGACATGATATTAAGGTAATGATAGATGTACCACTAAAGCAATGTAAAGAGCATGTGCAGACATATTGTGGATAAAACTGGCAAATTGCACGAGGAACTATTAACGTTTCAAAAATAAAGTGCAAGCCATTTGAGGGCAAAGCCATATACTTCATGCTTTTAATATCACATATTTTACACCAAATTTCGAAATAATGTGACATTTAATTTACCTCCTTTGACTTGTCCCCTGACACAACCTCTCCTTTTGAATTATAGGCTTCAAATTTCTACAGGAAATATAATTGAAATGGTCAAGGGTGCTGCATACTAGTTCAACATGAAACAAAATACATGGTAACAATATGGTACTCCCTCCGTCCGGAAATACTTGTCATCAAAATGGATAAAAAAGGATGTATCTAGAACTAAAATACGTCTAGATACATCTTCTTTTATCCATTTTGATGACAAGTATTTCCGGACGGAGGGAGTAGCTAGACTAGAATACAAGGTCTTAGTATCAACTACAACAGTTGAACATCACAGCAAGTAATGGAGTTTACAGAAAGAAGACATAAATATCAAAACATACACATCTGACATGTGTGTTCTCAAAAGAAGAGGTGAATATGTTCATTGTGAAGACATAGACTAGAACTTAAATACATGATGGACATACAAGATTGACCTAACCTTAGGAAAAAATAATAGGTACGGATAGAAAGCCAAAAAGATGAATTTGTTCAACATCCAGTCAGCAATTTAAAAGTAAGGAGGGAACAAAATATAGTTGAGTTGTACTGCATCACACATAAAAAACTTGAACTTTACAGAATGAAACCTGCTTAGTGACGAACTCAAGCGTAAGCTGTATGAAAGCTTTGTCAAGGTCATTCTTATCAAGACCAATCTGCAAAGTAAAAAGAGTTGACCAATTACCAACTGGCTTGGTTCAATCGTGACAATACATCATACAGATGTAAATGCGTGAAAAAGATGACTTTTAGAGCTAACAGGATAGAAAAGCAACAGATAGCTTACCATACGAGCCCTCAAAGTTCTTATGCTTACAGCAGGCTCCACCAATTCCAAGTGTACAGATTTCCACTTGGATTCTCTTCTCTTTATTTCATTTTTAACAGTCTTCAGGAAAAGGAAGAGAGTAAAGAATGAACACCAAAGCCCCGCACAAGACATTATCTGACATCAATTCAGTAGGTGAAAGCTTACAGAATGCATACTGTCCGTCAGAGCTTTCCGGAGAGATGATGTGTCTCCTTGTGCCATAAGCTTGTTAACCTGGATCCAAGGAAAGGGAACAATGAGACAGAGTTATTCCACAAACTAATTCATGTCATGCAAATCCCGTCATACCTAGAAATATCAGTAAGCACTTCAATTTGCATTAGGGCTTTTAAATAATACTCCCTCCATCCCTTTATATAAGGTACTAAGACGTATTATTTTTGGCGAGCTGACCAAGGCACGGAAATATAGAAAATTCAGGACAAAATTGCCATTGGCTAATTCGGTGGTTAGCAGCAGCTAAATCAATTAGGTGGACCGGATCCAGCAATTTGATCGCGTGTGCAGAATTCCTGCTCGCCTTGCATGCCCATGCACACGGTGAAGATTAGACGCGCAGATTTTCTTCCTAACTA